GCAATCACACGTTCACGGATCGAAAATTATAAGCACTGATCAATTTGCGTTCGTATATATATAATTTTTGTGGATTAATGCGACACGCGGATTGTTTCGTTCAATGTGTATCTCGTTCCGAGGTCATCGAGCGAATGCCGAAGTGATGACGTATAATCAACCACGCCGAGCGGCATGCTCCCCCACTCCTCGTCATTTAGATATCTTACTATTGTGTATGAAAAATATTCACGGTTTATTCATTTATTTATATTTTACATGATTTTTACAAACGGGTATCGTCATACAATTCGCGCTTTGCTTTGTGGCATATCTGGCACTAGTTTAATTCTATATATTATTTGCGCGGTTCTTTTTACAAATGTAATTGATAATTATTCATATGTGTGAGGTATTTTTAATATTCTAATGGTACATTATGTCTCAATTTTCATTATACTTTTAAATGATTTATACTTAAACAAAAATTGATAATATTTTATACATCCTTTATAAAGATATATGCAAATTTTCTTAATGTGTATTACAAACAATTTGCTCAATATAGCTTTGGTTAAAAGTATTAAATATCTTGTTAATTATTATTTAATTTTTCAGCTGAAAAATTAATTTATGACACTAATGTTGCTGCAAATTATTCTGTATTTCAAAAATTTTTTAAACATTTATATGTATAATATGCCGATCATGGTTCGGTAAAATGTTACGACTTATTTAAAATAAAAAATATATAATAGACTCGAGAAATTTATTTAAAACGCTAATAAGAAATAAGTCAAAAGTGTAGTTATTTAAAATAATAAATATTATTGTAAATAACTCTTTTATATTTTTAATTTAAAATATAATATATACTTAAATAACTTTATTCAATCCTTAGTATACATCTTAGTTTTCGGTTATAACCTTTATTATATACAAGTTGGGTCATTCGTGTTCTGAATTAATTTTCATCAGTTTTATAAGTACATAAAAATTATTAAACAATTTTTATATATATTTTGACATTTTTAGAAAATAAAATTTGTAAAGTTGTATATTTATAACGAATATATATAGTTCTGGAAAAAAATCAGGTGCTTCTGGAATTAAATCGCTGAAATCGCTGAAATAAATCTATAAAATTAATAGAGATTCAACGATTTCAACGATTTCAGCGATTTATTTTCATAAATTTTCAGAAATGTAGTTTGCACATTTATTTTTTCGGAGGGCAATAATATGCGGAAGCATTTTGCGGTTACTGCTTTAAGAAAAAGGCTCTTATATCTTTTCTTAGATTTCTCTCTGTACTTTTTACACTTAATTATAATATTTTATAATTATAATTATTTTATAATTATAATTATAAATATCTTCATTTTTACAATGTCTGAATACAGGTGATTTCAAGCAACATGAACAAATCTAATGTTAATCGTTTCAAATTATCGTTACAATCGCGATAAAAAATTGTTTGTTTCGATAATCACGGGCGATCCATAAAATAATTTAGATAGATTTTTAAAGATATGCTGTATTAATAATTTGATTTTAATTAAAGGCATTTGTAGAATAAATGTTCTTATATAATTTTCATTTCTGTGTAATAAAAAAAAGAATAATACTTTAAAAATATATCCTTCGACTTATAATGTCTGTTTTCTACCAATGCAGTTTAACTTTAATCTTTGTTTAACTAATTTTTCATTTTTTTCTAATTCAAAGAATTATATAATTAAATCGAGATTAATGGAAAAATTCTGTTTACATCTTGAATTTATTAGAAAGTGTTATTATGCGATTATATCTCGTATGTTTCTACAAAAATTATTGCGTTGCAATTACAATTTAAATTCTCGCGATGACATTTGATGACATTCGATCAGTATTAATCGACATGGACGCCACGAGTACGCTATGCACTTCGGTAACTTAATTAATAATTGATAATCTCGTTGTGAAGAAATTTAATTAGAGGAGACAAAAAAATTTAATTTACACGGAGACAAATAAAAAACGGAATAAAAAAAATAAAGAAGGAATTCCAGGCAGATCTATATGTATATTTTGATGTTTGAAGTCATGAAAGATGGAAAAGACACGTTGAATTTGTCGTCTGAGAAAGATTCGACTATCGATCGTGATATGGACGGAACCATGGAACAGCGGCCAGCGCGCGCAACTTGGATACTCCAGTTCATTGTGGAAGGGATTCTTCCACCATGCTCCAGTCTGCTCCAGAGTCCAATCCAGTGTGATGCATGGTGATGCATTGATGCATAAGCTGGAACGATGTTTGACGGAGCGTGTCAGATCGTTCCCTTGATTTTCATCATTGCGATTCTACACCGAGCTTACGGCGATAGTGTGATTCGAGCAAATGAGAAGAGGCACGGCGGCACGAACGACTATCAGATGTGCCTCGAGAGCTTCGATATTCATAAGGACAAAATTATTAGGACTCAGGACTCCCGTGATATGGGTGCCAAGTACTTGAATGTCTTAGACGTCGACTCCAGATTGGATTGTTTGAAGTACTGTTGCGAGACCGAGCGTTGCGATGTGTTCATCTTCGAAGAAAAGGTAAGACATGCACATTCAACACAATGTTATGTACATACACAGTGTATGGACAATGATTTTCATATTTTATTTAACTTGTTTTACTGGATTCTTTATCATTAGATCTATTATTCATCTATTCATCTCGTTATTTTGTTTTACAGAAACCGAGTAGCTGTTATCTTTTCCAGTGTGGTCCATTACATGACTTCAAATGCAAATTTACAAGGCATGCCAATTATACAAGCGCTGTGCGCACGAGTTATCCCATACAGAATGTACAAGTGGAAGAGGAAGTTAGGATATCTCAGCAGGAACACGAGTTAAAATCCCTTAGGTACATACTTTCAATGCTTTATTTTCCTCATCGATTTCGTGATTAATTATATTTTGTCTTAGGAAAAGCAATGAGATAACGTCAGATTATGGATTTACGGAAACACCTGTTAAATCTGTAGTCACACAAATATCAAAAATAATAATAACTACGCCAATACCGGTCAAGCCAGGTACATTTATTCGTTAATCTGAGTTGTAAAAAGCCGAAGAATTTCTAGATCAATACATAATATAAATCTTTCTTTAATAATAGCTTGTACCAGAAATCAATATGAGTGTCGTTCATCCGGAGATTGCATAGCTATATACAATGTTTGCGACGGTATTCCGCAGTGTGCAGATGGTTCCGATGAAGCGGCAGATCTTGTATGTCCTACGGAGAAACCGACAGTTCCTCCAATAATACAGATGCCACATCCGCCTGCCGATGTGCTCCGATATCAGCAAATAGTTAGTCAGCGTAAGCCTTTGCCTCCGTTTTATCCTGGACCGGAGATTAATCCTAAACCTTGGGATATACCGAATCTAGCCCATCAAATGTCGCAGCCGCAAAATATTTTATATCCTGGCCAACCGATAGAGGTGCCGCAAATGCAAATGCATAAGAATTACGGATCGTCAGGATATCAATGGGATTATCAGCCTTTATACGAGCAAAACAAGGATCCTTATGTTCCTAATACTGTTCACGAACAACATATAAATCCCTACGAACGTATGTAAAAAAATATTAATTATTATTCTGCCACGTATTTGTGATTGGGTTGTAAATTTTTATATTGTGAATATATTTTCAGAACAACCACACATATTTAATCACAAAGGCTCGAGCGTCATAGAAAATAATGAAGCGAATAGGTAATCTAAACTGTTATACTTTCTTCTGATTATTATAGTAAATTAAGACAGACTTTATTTTTTGATTAATTTTATGTTAGAGGGCTATATATGGAATCTAAACATCCGTATTCTCCATATTTTCCATTGTCAAATAAAGTGCCAGTTTGGCACGAAAATCCCCAATTTGCACCATCTGTTGCACCAAATTCTCAACCTAAGCAAGCTATAGAAAATCTTCCAATTACGACGACGCCTGCTTGTGATGTAAGTACGTCTCTCGGCAATTGGGAATTATTATAGAATCTTGAAAAATTATGCGAATAATTTTTCATTAATAGACCTCGGAGGAACATAAAAATGAATTGACAAATGAGAATAAAGAACCTGTAAAGAAAGAAAAAACCGATACATATTTAACACATGTAAAGAGCAAAAAAGTTACTGAAAAACCATCTTTATCAGCAAATGAGGTTACTAAACATAATCGTGCAAAAGAATCAAAAGGTAAATGCACAAATCTATTTTCAATAATAGCTTATCCCTAGCATCTTTTATATCTATATTTGCAAATAAATTATAGAAAAATTAGTCTTTGTTAAATGTGTGAACTCACGCAAATGCTATAACTATTATTATGCATTCTAAAGTTTTTTTTTTTTTTAAATAGACTTTGAATATCTTGTACAATGCATTTATCTGTTTCTGTTTCTGTTATAATAAGATTTAGATCCTTTCAGATCATAAAACTGTGATCGTAATTGAAGAGCATGCAAAGATACGCGAAAAACCCGACATTATTGCGGAGCATCTTCAAATAATTGAAAATGACGTTTTAAGGCCCAAAGGTGCCGTGGTGTCATTATCATTGGGACTTATCGCGACCGCGATCACAGCTGCTTTAATTGTTTGCCGATTAAGAGTAGTAAAACGACGAGGAAGATGCGGACACGGACCTTTTGCACATGATGCTGATTATTTAGTTAACGGAATGTATTTATAAATGAATATAAGTTGCTTATATACATTATATACATTAATTGCAATCTAGTCATTTTAATGCATTATTGCAATCTAGTCATTTAATGCATATTTATCAAATTTTCGTACCACATTGTACGTCCATGATTGAATTATTAAAATCTGTGAACAGATATATATATACACACACATATATATGTTAATCTGTAAAGATAAAGTTTTATTCACATTACATAAAGTTGTAAGTGTTTTTGTGATTATTGATAGCATTTTGATATAGAAATGTAAAAATCAATAAATTTATGAATTATTGTTATTATTACTGATTTTTCTATATACACATTATATTTATCCTTAGCTAAATATTTTTTTTAATAAAAAATTCCTGCCAAAGTTTTGGAATATAACATAATTAACAGAATTATAAACAATTTTGTCAATTAATACTAAATAATTGACGCTAGATAAAAGTACATTTATGCATTATTATTATTTTTATGCCTTATCAATATTATTCCTAAATATTCATTAGAAAACGAAACATTTATTATCTTAATATAAATATTATTCTGCAAATTACTATTTTATACATTCAACAATGAAAAAACTGATAAATGGCCATTTTATTTATTAACAGAGTTAGAGATATTCTATAAAATATTCTCATTTAAAAATAGTCTTCTGTATTAAAAAATTGAATTTAATAACGATAGAACATTAACCATCTTGAACAATAATGATGCGCAGAGTAAATATTATTCAAATTAATTTTGTCTAACGTAAATAACTAAGAGGAATTTTACTCCTCAATTATGTCTTTAATTGTACAATATTATTTTCAATTATACAATTGTTTCAATTTCTACTGTCTATAACATTAATATAAAAAAAAATTCTCCCTTTTTTCGTGTGTTCATCTATTTTCTTATTTATAATTTATAATTAAATCGATAAAGGATGCATTATCGCAAATATCGATTCATTATACATAGAATAAATGAGTCAATGATGCATCATTAAATAGTAATAATGAAAATCCAACAATCCCTGCATTCCTTCGGTTTTACAAAATCCTTTTAATCGCAGTTCGTAGAGTTTGGTTCATCAAAATTTATGTACGTGCATTAGCTGCGGCGTTCTGTTGAGCTCGAATAAATTCTGGATAATCGATGTAACCGTCATTGTTACCATCATCCATGCTAAGTATCGGATCTATCAACTGCACTAATTCTTCATCTTTGAATAATTTATCGCCTTGCACACTGGATTCCGAGCCACCTTGTTCTACGAATGTAAAGAAAATACTCAAAAATTCGATTATATGAGAAAAAATATACAACGAGAGAGAGAGAGAGAGAGAGAGAGAGAGAAAGAGAGAGAGAAAGAGAGAGAGAGGGAGAGAGAGAGGGAGAGAGAGACTTAGTTCGTACCATGCCAATGTATAAGAGACTTGATCAGCTCACAACCGTCTAATTTGTTGTTATTGTCTGCATCATGCATTTTGAAATAGTGAAACTGCAGCTCCTGATCTGTCATCTTGCTGGTATCTATTGGAACGTCAGCATGCTCAGCAATGTGTCTAAAAGAAAAGAAATGCTATCGTTATATAATTATTGTTATATTATATCTAATAATTATTATTATATATTATACATTCTTTATATATATATATATAGTTAAAATAAATTTTTATGTATCCAAATACCTACTGTTTTTCATGCTCTATATTGGCAGTATTAAGTAACTGAGGTGGCCCTTGATGACCATGCCCATGTGGTTGATGACCAGGCACTTGTTGAATGGATACTTGTTGATGTACAGGTACTTGCTGTTGCATAGGTACCTGTTGTACAGGTACTTGTTGCATCGGTACTTGCTGTTGCATAGGAACCTGCTGCTGTACTGGTACTTGATACTTGAACAGAATGTTATTAAATTAGATATTATTGAACTCAATACTTGATCCTGATTCATACACATATTGAAGAGAAAGCCAAATCTAAATTACAGTGATATATTGAAGATGATAGGTTCACATACACAGATAATGTAAATATCTACCTGTTGCTGTGGTACATGCTGCGCATGTTGCGGTACTTGAACATTCTAAAACAGAAAAATAAATATAAAATAATGTATAAATAAAAAATAAATAATACATGTATATCAAACTATTATAATACTAGATAACAGCTGTTTATTTTACGAATCATATTTTCAAGGATTTAGGTTCTTACAATTTCACTCTATATTTGGATGTTAAAAACACATGGGCTAATAATTAACTTAATTGTTTATTAATAGCTAAAATTAATTATATCGGCTTCACGCTTTGTTTGGAATCGGCTTCCATATCATGTGTACCAAGAAGCACTGCTAAACATATGTTAACCAATTGATTGAGAAAAGCGAGTTACCTGCTGATAATGCTGAGGCGGTACTCCCGGTGCGACTCTTTGCGCCTGGACGAGGATGTATTTGGATCCAAACGATCCGATTATCAGCGCGAACAATGTCCAATGCATCTTTGTTGCACTGTTCGAAAAAAAGAAAACAATGTACACGTTAGTCGATAGGCTCAAAGGATATCGTCGAGTGCTTGTGCGCTGTTTTGTACACTCGGCACGATCTAAATTAATCCTGCGATCGTAATGAATACCTTGTTTACGCTAGGAAATGTCTAGGTAGCTTGTCATCTGCGTGAACGTTTCGTTCATCAACTATTATGAGATTTCGAGCAAACCGCCGTTCTCAAATCACGTCCTCAGAAAAACGTGTAAACTGACGTGGACAGTACAGGATATACCGCGCGTAAAATCATGATGGAAGAAATTTAGGTGTGTTCATTTTTGAGACAAATTCGTACGATACTACGCAGATGCCAGACGCAGCCATTTAAATATTTGCACCGCGGTAATTTTGAATGGATTCCATAATATGAAAATCGAGAATCATTATCCAGGAGAATTGCTCTCGATATCGACGAGATATTATTAAAAATAGCTGATCTTAGATCTGAAAGTTCGCGTCTTTGTAAAAATTTAAGTTACTAACTTACAAGTTATTATTATACCCGGGAAGAAATGTTTTATGTAAAATTATATGTAATTATATAAAATTACATATAATTAGAATATAAAAAGATTGACATATTTTATATACTTTGCTTATAATTATATATAAAATATGTCCATTATTTATAACATTTTTCCCCGGGTAATGTTATTTTGTCTATAAGTTTGACATTATTTATAATTTTGAATTGATTATAAAAATTCTGCATATAATGATTACCCATTAAAATTTATTTTTAGAACTATTTCACAGAAACTCAAATATACACATAAGTAATAAAGACATCACAAAAAAGAAGAGACAAACTGTAGATATTAATAAAAAATTGTTTTAGTTTACTATTCCGTACATATCAATAAAATATCTAATAAATATAAGAAAATAATCAATGGCACAGTATTAAAGATAGCGTTAACAAAATGTGAAGTTTAATTAGAGTTCACAAAGATCCATTACCAATCGATACATAAAGTAATGTGATATATAGAATTGCGAGTGTTTGCAAAAATTGTGAAGCCTCGTATGTGGCAAAGCAAGCAAGTCAAGACAACAATATCTAAACATTGCAATCATATCGCTAGAGAAACATCAGATAGCTCAATGATGACAGATACCATAGATTACAACACAATCATGAATTTGATTAGCATACTGGACAGAGAAAGTAATTTTAAAAGATTGACTTCTGAAATGTTACACATTAAAACACAGAAAATGAGCCTAAATTAATTTACAAATAGATACACAATTTCTTGACAATTTCTTGATGCTTATACAGGGCTAGATAGTATTTAAAATAATTCCAATTTTAAATATGTATTTGAAAATGAAAATGGCATTTTGCATTTTCTTAAATGATTTTTGGAAAATCATTTTCATTTTACATTTGAAAAATGGAATCATATCTGTCATTTAACCATTTATAAAATAGATAAATGATTTTCCTATGTTTTCACAAATTTCCTTAGAATCGTTGACGTGTTATTTGTTTAAAAAAACCAAGAAATCCTCCATCTTCAAATAACGTCACTCTACATCTTATTATGAATATCTATGAAAAACTATGGATTTCTGAGACAAACAAATCTCACTCTATGTCTTACTACGAATATCTATAAAAAAATTAAGGATTTCTAAGATCTTATCTCAATCTATATAGTTTTCCTGTACTTTTTCGTAAACATTTTTTTTCGTAGGGAAGGAAAAACCATTTTGCATTTGAAAACTATTTAAAATATCTATTTATCCATTTTACATTTAAAATAGATTCAAAAAACCTATTTTGCATTTTGCACTTTAAATACACTTTTTAAAAGTATTTTACAATTAGTATTTTAAATGGAATTCGAAAAGTATTGTACCCAACCTTGTTGTACTTTGGTTCTTGAAACCATTTAGTACAAAATTTATTTATGACTAAAAACATTGCTCTTTGTTGATTATCAGATGAAGTATCAACGATGACACGTAGAATATTATTATTGTCTTAACTGACACATCAATCACACTCGTGAAATGAGAAGCATTGCGCATAATTGATACAATTGTTCATAATTTTAATTTTTGACGAAGAACGTAATTTTATAATGTGTTGACTATTGAATATGATTGTATAATCTATTTGCAATTTGATGAGTGATTATCCGTGCTCGTTTTTGTGCATACAAAGTTATCATAGATCATAGATCATTATTATTTAATTCGTAATGTTATTATATTAGCCTATCTTATGGAGCTTTCTTTGTTTTACCGGATTAACTAACCATGATGAAATATAAGGAAATATCGCATTAAGGCGGATGGTCGGCATCAGGATTGCACAGATTACAAAATAGTTTAATATTTAATTAATGTATTTCGTTGAGAATGACTTAAATCTAAGTCGAAACGCGTACGAAAATAAATAAATGTCAAAATAGAAGAGATAATATATTGAATGTTTACTCCCTGCTGTAAATTCTTACAAGAAAAAATTCTTGTGAGATCTTCTAAAAAAATTTTCACATACGAATTTCGGAAACACACAAAATTGTATAAGAATATATCGCATACGATATCTGTGAGTAAATCAAGAATCTTGCGTGAATCTTACACTCATGTTATATGAATTTTATAAGCATATTACTTGACTCTTACAAGCATTATTTGATTTAAAAGAATTCATTTTGGCTAAAAATTAATTCTTTTTATACAAATTGTATAAACGGCTTTTCTATCGACTAAATTTATAACGACTAAAGCAAATTTAATTTGAGAAAGAAGCATAAAAAGCTACACCAGTTATTATATGAAATTATAATTTATCAATTTATCGATAGTAATAATATACGTTTCGACTTTTTATTTAGCCATCTTCTGGCTATATATTATAAATATATAAATAAATAAATTTTTTAATTTTTCTCAATTATTTTTCATTTCATACATTCAATCCAGTTTCTGTTCGTTCAATAATTCCATTTCATTTATCGGGATGATACCTTTATTACTTTGAAGCATGTAAAGAAATTATTTCTTACTTAAGAGTATCTTATTAGACTATAAAGCAATTCAAATCTTTTTATTACGATATAAATCGTCGTATATGATTCATGTCAGATTCCTGTACCAACTTGAAAGATAAATTATTTCGGAATTATTGGATAAGTATAAAAATTTGTGCCTAATTTATTTAAAATTCAAACAGATGCTATTTTTGTTAAAAATAAAATAAAATCTAAATCTTACCTCTATCTGATGAGAGAATTTAAAAATCTGTTTTTTTAAATTGTGATGATTTTAACGGAGTAAAATTTTTAAAGTAAAAATATTCTTTTTATTTCATTTGTAACAAATGAAAAATCGAGGATTTTTTAAAAACGAATTTATAGAGAAATTAAAAAATGATTGTACATTAAATTAAAAAATTTTACATTAAAATATTTTTACATTAGAATTTTATATACTTTTACATTAGAAATTCAAAAATTTTACATTAGAATATTTTTACATTAGAATTTTACATACACATAACATACACATACTTTTACATTAGAAATTCAAAAATTTTTGCAAATTGTTTTTGAATACGTAACAAGTCCACAAAGTAAAGAAAAAATTTCCCGTTTTGTTTAACTCGTAGTTTTCTATATGTGAAAATTACAAAACTCATATAAAATAAAAAATATAATAACCATTCTAAAGTAGAGATTTCAAGCTTTAAAATTCTTTTTCTTAATTTAAATTTCGTTTATTTTTAACAAAATTGCTGTTTGAACTTTGAATAATAAATCGGAATTTTTACCAATATATATATTTTACCAATATATAATTTATCCAATATATACATTTTTTAAAATTGATAAATGATCTTTCATATAACACTTCAGCATATATAATTAATATCATATCTTAGATGAGCCTATAAAGAAATTATTTTTTAAAAGTTTTTTATAAGACTAAAGCAGATCTTATCGAATTGCTAAAGTATAAATGTTATTGTACAATAATAAAAAAGACAATCGGAATAAACATCGAGTGCCTGTGTGTTTCTGATATTTGGTTCCAACTACTTGAAGACAAATCTAGATATAATGTATCGCATACTTTTTATACGTGCACTGGCTGTGTTTATTTGTATTCTAGAAACATTAAATAAAATTTTTTAATTGCAATGATGTATTTTGCGTTTTACATAACATTATTTTAAAACTTATTAAATTCCCTTGAAAATGACCTGTTATTTTTTTAAATTCTGCCCATAGATTTCTAACATTTACCCAAAATGAACTCGATATCTCATAATAGGGACTCTCTCTCTCTCTCTCTCCCCCTCCCCCTCTAGTGCGCGTACGTGCGCGCGCGCGCGCGCTCGTGTGTGTGTGTGTGTGTGTGTGTGTGTGTGTGTGTATGTATATACTCTTAAATAATATTTTATAAAAGCTTGATGTTTTTTATGCTAAATAAGCGTTTTAGAAGCAAGCTTAAAAAATGTTTTGTTGGATCTGAAATAAATTTTTATTAGGTGTACAACTTTGCTTCCGCCATTTTTTTTCCGAAATTCGAGGCTTTATTGTAAAAAACTGGTTATACATTTATGATTCAAAGTATTCCATCGCTGGCCACTACTTTCTCCCATCTTTCGGGTAGCGTACGAATCCCGCGTCGAAAAAACTGGTCATCTTTTGAGGCTATCCACGAATCGATTCAATTTTTTACTTCTTGATAAGACCGGAAGTGCTGGTCAGCCAGGCCGTGTGCCATTGATCGAAACAAGTGATAGTCAGAGGAAGCAACGTCTGGAGAATACGGCGAGTGGAGGAGGACATCCCATTTCAACGTTTCCAAGTATGTCTTGTCCACTTTCGCAACATGGGGTCAAGCATTGTCATGCTGCAAAATCACTTTATCGTGTCTCTTGTTGTATTGCGGCCGTTTGTCTTTCAATGCTCGGCTCAAACGCATTAATTGCGTTCGATACCGATCGCCTGTGATTGTTTCAGTCGGTTTTAACAGTTCATAATACACTACGCCGAGCTGGTTCCACCAAATACAGAGCATGATCTTGGACGTCAAAATCACCGTTCTTGAAGCGTTGAAACCACTCACGACACGTTCTTTCACTAATAGCGACCTCCATAAGTATTTGAGAGCATTCGATGAGCAATAGTACGATTAATCTAAAATAAATATTTAAACATTTAATGATTATTACTTTAATATTTTTCGTTAATTATACATT